CGCCGTTCCGAATTACTCATGACGTCGTTATCGATCGCGTAACGTTCGAGATGGTGGTGCACTGTTTGTGTGGGGATAGTTCCCTCCCTGATGGTTTGCCTGTGTTTCGCCTGAAATCTTGTTTGTTTTTGTTTGCCACACCCTATAGGGATTGCTGATGGGTAGCAACATGACAGGTGAGGATTAGGAATAGAGAATTCTTCTGGGAATTTTGATTTCCACGACCACACCCTCTGCAAAAAATCACTGTAACCCAAACTGGTATCGTTTTAGTCGTTGACGTTTGTTGCTCTAAGAAATTCTCATTCCTGCTGCTTCGTCGTTCAGGAGATAACCTTCCTAAAGACCCTTTACTTGAAGCTTATCAGGCCGATTGCTCATCCCCGTTTTCGTCTATTGACTGTTACTGCCTTCCCAATGGTCTCAGTGAACTGTGTTGCTTTTCTAATCTGAATTCAAGGAACTACTTATGTGGGGAAGTTTCTATTGAAAAGTCCCTCACAGGCGAATATAATGGCCGGCCGGCGATTAATGGTGCCAAGACCAGTTTGGGGCAATTTCAGGGCCGGACTGCTACTTCCCGAACGATTCCAGGTAGTGGGAAGGGTCCAAACAAAATCGCCATTTCCATAGCTAACATGAAACTGATCAGTCTCATTCGTAATCATTCACGAAGTGATCAATCTCCATGGGGTGTTAGAGCCGTCCCGTCCTGTACTCTGAACCCGGGCGTCGTCAGTGTTCTTGTGTTATCAGTCAGTCGGGATCATATAGACTGCACACAGCTGTGAGAGACGATGGAGAGAGAACGTTGTCCCACCAGAAAAAGTTCAAAGGATCCCTGAATGCAGCAATGAAAAGTGAATCATTCAAAGGGGTCATGGACAAAGTGTTAAAGGTGAATATGCCAACACGAGGGGCCTACATCACCCCATCCCCCCTCCCTGGGCTGTTTCGAATCGAACTCTTTGTTTCGCTCAGTTCAATTTGTCGGTCGACAACCGGCTTGCAAAACTTGCAAACCACCCGCGCCAACTCATTCAGCAGCAGCAGCAGCAGCAGCACCCAGTCAGTCACCTTCCGTCTCTCTCCCTGCTACTAATAGAATCTCTTCGTTTGTTCGGTTATGAGATTTCGTCGTTTTTGTTAAAACCTCATCATCGTCTGACAATGATGAACGTCCCTCCAGCGTGTGTTTCTATCATCAATCAGGCGCACCATTTTCTTTCTTTGGTTCCCGTTTGGGGCTTCCTGTTCTGGCGTCCGATGCAATCTCTGGTCGTCGTCAGACGGACGGCGGCCAGAAGTTGGAGCCAGATGATTGCCTTCATTAGAGGTTCAGGGCAGTCCAAATCTTTTTCTCTAGAATTATTCGATGAGCGCTACAACAAAAAAAAGAAGCGGCTGCCGCCAATCGATACACTCGGAGTACGCCATGTCTACAACTTCCACGTCTATTCAGAAAAAAACTTTCATTCACACATCGACATTCCTCAGCTTTTTCAGCGGCTATTCATCAAAATTATTTAATTTATTGATATTTATGTGTATATGTTTATTGATCTCATTGTCATACACACCTTATGCCCTCGAGGTTTTCTGATGTTTTTGAGAATCAAAGATTGAAAGCGAAGATAAATGACATCGGTTGTTTGCTTAAGTACCTCTCGCTCTCGTGTTTCAATCGAAGTTCTAGAGTCCCCAGACAACAATTGAAAGTCTGGCTCGAATGGGTTAGTCGATATTTATGCGGGGCCCATCTATTTGCCCCGTAACAACGAGCCCGGTAACAATAAATTTTCCCAAAAGATTCAACTTACCTGTTTGACATGGGCCAGGCAGATCCTGCAAATCCAACTTAATACCTGTAATCCTCCCATATCTCCTCCCAATACAATTACAATAATGTATAAGTACATATAGCCTGCCCGGAACCTCATTTATCTTCTTCTTTCTGCAATCGACTTCCATTCATCTTGGCCTGATAATAGTGTCTTGAGCCTTCACCAAGTAAACCCCCTGAGATCGATGCATATACCCTTTTTACATCCTTTCCTCGTTATACTCTGCGGTAAAGTAGTGTTTGAGGGCTTCCATTGACAATGTTGCGAATCAGATCTCCTTAAGAACCAGCTCCTTCCAGCTGCTAATCGCGATCACGTTTATCTCACAGGCTATGTCGTACGCCAGTTCGGTATTGTCGAATTTCCTTTTGGGCTAGAATCATACCTGGGCAGGGTAGCTCGAGGGGTACCGCAACCATCCGTTTGAATAGAAAATCTGATTCGCCTACCTGACCCAAAAGTTGAAGGCACAGCTCATGATGACAAATGTTTCCAGAGTTTTTTCCCCATGATGCACCTGTGAACCTTTGACCAAACCCTGAACCGAGTTGGCCGGGTACCCACCCAAAAGTGGCTGCACCATGCACTTTGAAGCGTTATGACACCTAGACGGTTACAGAGGCATAATCACGTACAATCTCTACTGAGACTTTTGAAGCCTTATATTCATTATAATCGCTGATTTTCTCGCTTTCTTCTCGATTTTTGTACTATTCTGCACCACAACTTCCGATATTTCACTTGAGCTAAATGCTTCAAAATTATCGTGAACTGTAGACTGGAGAATGAACGACTACGGGTCGGGAACGTTTCATTCTGAGGAGGACTTGAACGTCCTCCATAAAAGGGACGGAGGCCGAAGGTGCTGCTGTACAATTTTGAAGGAGCGAATCGTCTTTGATAAGACACATGGGGTCTTACTGAGTAATAATAATAATCTAATTAACTTTGAGGTCTCCCCTGTTCCCCATCATCCTTCCTCGCGTCCCGTCCCCGAATGGTTCCTATTTGGAACTTTAAGGAGATCCATAGGGAACTGGTTAACGTCATTCAACTCATACACCTTGCTTTGATCTGGTACAAGTGGCAGTTGTGTATTCGCCAAATGGCAATGATGACATGATCATTTCTCGGCTAGTGGGCATACCGTATAGGCATAAAGGGGGCTGCAATGGTCCTAAGATTTTGAATTGAGGTCATTTGTTTATCTCATCTCAAGTTCACTAATTATTTACGTGTAATTTTTGTTTTGTTGGTTTTTTTTTTGAAATTCTCCTGAAGAAGATTGATCTTATGAACTTTTCCTATACAACTTTTCAATCATTCAATGAATACGGTTGTAGTATGCTCCAAAATGTGGGGCTACACCTTTGGCAGACTCTGGTTACCGGAATCCTTTCGGAGCTACCTATCGTGAATGTATTCTACCCTAATCGTCCTGGAATTCCATTCCTGGATACCAATACCACGTAATTTTGCAGAATATGGTAAATCCAGTTCTTGCTGAAGCGTTACATTCCAATCAAATTACCACCTAGACGATGTCGTCCCGAAAGGGCAACGATTCCCAATCCAACGAAATCCCTCACGAACGTGTACACGGATGAGTCGCCAGATTAGTGCGACCGTTTAGTTGGTACGGATGGTTTCACACGGTCGTCAAAAAACTTCTCCGTCACTGTCATCGGCTGCCTTCCATTTTGCACGACTTTTTCGCATCGCTTCACTTTTCTTACGAAGAACAGTTGCAATGTGGTTTTTGGGAGCCCACATGTGACCAGGTGCTCTAGTGTCCCATATAAGACATCGCACATTTCACCGTCTTCGCTCATTACCGCTAAATTCCAATCGGCAGAACATTCTCGTGACCGTAACTCTATTTGCTCACTGCACTGGGTTTGAGTGGGTTTGGCTCGGTTCACTGAACATAAAATTCGATTGTCGGGTTCCGTTTATTCTTTCCCCCCTCACACGAGTCCTGATGGTAGAGCCGCAGTCACATCAGTCGCCACATTCTTCCCCCAACCCGTCCCATTACCCGAATCTTGCGAAATCATCCCGGTTCGGGATTGAAAACGCGCGTGAAAGTCTTCCCTTCCGCGTCGTTGATTTTACGGGTCAGTTTCGGGAGTATGTGGGATGCCCTAGTCCGATTCGAACCACCATCAAATCCTGTTTCAGTTTCGCAAGAGCTACTCGAAAAGGCGCAGAGGTCAAGGAACAGAGCCGCTTGGGGGGCGTCCAGTGAAGGAATCACCGTCATCGTCGCCGTTGTCATCGTCGTTGTCGCCGTCGCCGTCGTCGTCGTCAACCACGGACGGGGGAAAATCGATGCGTGGATCGCGGTTAATTGAACACCTCGCCGAACGACCTTCAGACACAACGAGGAAAGAATCGTCGGCGGCAGCGGCGCAGGCGACGAATGGTCTCTTCTGTCAGCCAGCACACGCACGCGCCAAGTCGGAACTCCTCTTCGGCTGTCTCGTCGCCGTTCCTCCCTCACTGATCTATTTGTGCTTGCTTGATTGAATTTCTCTCAGACATCTTCTTACTGTACGTCCCGATGTCCGATCCATTATTGATTGCGATCGGTTGAAGAACAGCCCTGTTGAACAGGCCCTAACGACCGAAGGGAGCGAGCCAACGTTAGTAGCGTCAATTATTCCGCCCTCTGACGACCAGGCCCTCCTTCAGAACGTCAGTTTCATGCGACGAGCATTCTCTGTGACATACGTGCCTATATATCATTGATTTCCCCCCTTTTCCCCTACAATGAACCATTTCTGTCTCATCAGCTGACTCATCCTAAACAACTGTCTAAAATATTGTAATAGAGAACTGCTTTCTCATTTTGGAAAGCTCGAAACATCGATCGATTATCGATCGATATCGTATACCCAACCGTAAGTGACAGTGATAGATCTGGCGCCCTTATTTGTACGTGTACGTATACCGTTGAAGTAGAGCAGTGGTAGCGGCGGTGGCGACGGCGGCGGTAGTGGCCGTCGGCTGGCTGTTGTGCCGCTGCTTTCTCTGCCGGCCGATCCGTCGTGTTCGTCCTTTACTTTACCGTCGTTGATCGCCTACTATTTGTCTCGTCGATTGTCTATAAGATGTTGTTTTTACAGCGTTGGGATAGGATTTTATGGCCACGAAATGAGCGACGAAAACGGAGTGCCGGAGAATTCAGAGGATGAGGCGGCCGCCGCCGGCTATGTGGTCGGAAATGGTAAATTACCAATTGGGACCAGTGAATTGGAGCAGGAAATCAAAGAACTAGAAAATCTACTTCGGCTGGAACGAGAAGAAAGACGACGAATTCAAGCCGAAGCACAGGTGAGTCACCGTCAACGCCAAGCTCTTTTTTTCCTTCGAAATTTATTCAAACTTTTCACAATTTCCCCCTCTCTCTACACTTCAAACTCGTTCACGCCGTAATTGCTTGCCGTCGTCGTCTTTCCCAGAAGTACACGTTTACTCAATTTACGTTCGAGTGTGCTTTCTGGTATAAAATAACCTCTTCGACATCCTCGAATTTTCGTCTTGCTTACTTTTCCAATTTACTGGTTCAAGAGAGAAAACCATCTGATACTGTATTCATGCATTTTGTGTTTTTTCACTCGTAGGTTTTCTTCGAGCTCTTCTGGACTTCTTTGTTTCATTTATTCTCACTTGACTTCCTGCCACTATTTCCTGTACGGATTTTCCGAAATTGCCGATTTTATTTCCGGAGTACGGTATTGAGTGATCTATTGATTTCGAGGGTAATGAGGAAGCTTAGGCATGGGTGGAATCTGGGAATTTTGAAGTGTATTTTATTCGTGGCAGGAGTGTGAGGTGATGCGGTGGCAAGTGGCGCACCTCACACACGCATCGTCGCAGGTTTGAATCCGGGATCGTTATCTGCCTAGACCAACCAAGCCTTCCATCCCTCTGAGGTCGGTTAATTGGTACCAGACTTGTCTGGGAGGATGAAAGCACTGACTTGAACATCGGCTGACCACAGCAAGTCATTGTATAGGCCACATACGAATTCAATACGCCACTAGGATTCTGAATAGAAGTCGAAAGCGGGGGCGCATCCCTCAAAAGGGACTGATTAACGCTCCAAGACTCTGTACTTTATCCTTTATTTTGTTTGTGGTAGATGAAGCCGGTATACCGGCATTTTCGTAAGTGTAGTAGTATAACGGTAATGAATGACACTAGATATGAACCGATTGAGGAGAAAAATGATACTTGTGGGTATGAGAGCGCATATCTTGAAAACCGATTTTTCTCAAAGACAGGAGAAGAAGAGTGTTGAGAGCAGGTCATACGAGGATGGATATCATAGGCAAATCTTCGGCTTCGGATGGGACTCGTACCTGCACTTGTGGTTCTCTAGAACCGTAGAATTTCGTTATTTTCCACCCTGGCAGTACAGCATATACAAAGAGATATGTCCTTCAAATACCCTCCTCTCCCTCCTTTCCACCTCTCNGGAGAGGGGATGGGGAAAGGGTGGGAAGAAGTCAAGTTTCAATTAAACCTTAGAGAGGTACCACCAAAAGCATTGTTTTGTGAAGAGTCAATTTGTTTGCCAAGATTCGAACTAGGATCTATGCATTTGGGCAAATTGCTTATCCACTGCACCATCGTGGACCATCCTATCCCTAGTTCAGCTGAGGGAATTCATCTGTTACTACATGCCCTAGCATATATGTAATATAGCACGTGTATTGCATATATTTCGTGTTTTGATTTAATTTGTTAGTTGATTTCGGCCGAGATGGGTAATGCGGTTAGTGATGCGTTTACGATGCTAAACAAGTAAAACGGGAGAGACTAAAACGGAGGGGGTAAAAGGCAAAGGAATAAGAACCAAAGTCGTTGAAGTCAGAACCTATCGCCCTATTCAAACCAGCGTCATCACATCCCTCACCTTCATTCAATTATTCGTGTCGCTATTCTTTCGACTTCTCCGAACTGGTTTAAGTTTTGTTTCTAAAGAAGTTAAGGTTTTGAAATAACCGATCTCAATGAACCGTGGCCTACCGTAAGCATCGGGCTGATGACGTTTGTAACCACTGCTGCTATGTTATAACGCATTGAAACCGTCTTCCTACCGTACTCCTTGTCTTGTACACTACCGTAACCCACTTTTTTGCTTGTGCTATCAAAACGTGGCGTGATCCTGACGAATTCATTCATTTTGGTTGTGAGACTTTTACCAATATGTTTTCTAGAACAAGGGCCCTGAGTTATGGGTGAACGTAAAAATTTGGGCGAATCTCGGCCTGCCAAAACCTACTTTTGAGGATGGGGCAGAGGTAAAATGCAGGTTTCCAGAATGCTTGAAAAGGGTTCGAGTCTCATCCGACCAGCAAATGTTTCGCACGTAGACTAGCACTCCTGTGATAACCACTCCATCATGAATTGGAGCGATAGTCAGCAATTAACTGAGCAAAACCTTTCTTCAGCATCGTTCAAAAGCGTTCAAAAGACAGCCTTTTCAACCTTCATATTTCGTTTTACCGCCTTTTTATTTTGTCATTCTCATCATCATTCATCATTATCTCCTTTTACCAGTTTTTAGGCTGCGAGGGAGCTTTTATAGTTACTGTATGATTCTACAATATCCACCTTCTTTTACTGACCTTGAAAAACATGATTTCTGAATTTCTATAATCACGAAGTCTTCTGATGCCTTAATATTGTTCTTGGAATGCGCCCCGCTTTCGACTTCCCTCCAGAATCGTAGTGGCGTATTGTATGCGTAATTGGTCTATACAGTGTGTTGCGGTTGCCCCAAGATACAAGTCACTGCTTTCATTCTCCCAGACAAGTCTAGTACCAATTAGTCGAACTTGAAGGCATGGAGGACTTGTTTGGTTTATGGAAATGCTGAGGGGATTCGATCTCTGACCATGCGTGTGTGATAGTGCGCCACTGCCACTACACCATCTCCGCCCGACAGAATTCCTGCCTATAAGATTTCGATTCGGAGTCAGCGCCATCGTGGAGGCACTTCACAATCTCTGAAAGCTTTCAATCAATAATTTAATGCTCTTCAATAGTGATGTAAACATGTGCTCCTTTTTGCAAAGATGATCTCAAATACCAGTACCAAATGGCCATACCCAGGGGTTTTCCAGTGCCTGATACCCAGAGGCCCATGTAGATAGTGGCCACGAATATTGATCGTGAAGTTATCGGATCTATCATGACGCCACTCAAAACGTCTAGAACGTGGCTCGTTTTTTGCAAGTGATTCCCGTTCTCGTGGGAGGAGATGACGAAGAAAAAAGTGAGCGTCTGGAAAAGTTGGCTGGACGGCTGCATGATAATTTCGATTATATCATTTGTTTTGCTTTTCCAGCCCTACTTTCACTGTTGGACTTTCGGTCTTATCTTATCACATCGTAATTGATTGCAAGTCCCTCTTCCCATGTGATAGCCAGGAACGTTGAACGTGAAGAATCGCAAAAGAGCGGTCCAGCAATTGGCATAATAGAACGCCCACACACCTCTACACCCTTCATCAAGCTGCAAACAGATGCTCACCCCTTCACCTCTGGTACCAGTCGACTTTCACACAAATGGAGAGCTTCTCCAGCTAGTGGAAGGCAGCTCTGGAAGGCACTTCGAAGTAGCTCCCAGTAAGGGAAGGAGTGAATTGTGTGGGGACGAACACCCACCAGAATCACCATGAAGGCGAGATGGTATAGTGGCGAGGAGACCGCTATTGCCTGCCTGGTCGGGGGATCTAATCCCTTTCCCGGGAATGGAGTCCTCCCCCAACCCTCCGAGATCCACCAATCAATCACACTTCGCACTGCTGTCAATCTGGGTTCAGAAATTGGGAATAAGAGCTGCAAGGACCCTATCGGTAGTCCTTTACCCTGTTATGGCATCTTCTGATAGATCTTTGCCCCCATCCTTTCCGTTCCATTCTCCCCAGGGACCATGTCCTTCTCGGTCACGTTCAAAGAGCATAAGGGGGTAGTAGGGAATTGTCGTAAGCGGCTTGCACTACCGCCAGAAAAAGCAAAAAAAAACAAAACACAAAGTTAGTAACACGTAGGCTTCCCTTTTTGAACGAGCATAAGGCTAGAGAAGAGAACACTCACAGCTTCTCCCTCCTTTTACGGAATCATCGTTCAATTGGCTTCATTGGCGTCGCCCTCACTGTCTCGTTCTTATCTTATCGTGATTAATTGGTTGCTTCTGTAGGCGTCTAGCAGAAACAGATGCCCGACATGAGGTTCTTTAGGCTGAAGGGGAGGGGAGGGGGGGTGGGTCTGATTACGGGGAAGATAATCAGTGTTGTCTTTAGACCAGGCAAATCCCATCACAATGACATATTAAATACACACTTTACAACGAGCAACCGTTCAGAAATCCGGCGATCACTGCAACAGAGAACTGGTTCCTCAATCAAGAGGTTGTCATCCCCTTTACTTCTTCTTTCGTTGATCAAACCCGTTTTTGAATGCACTCTCGAATTGGATTTTCACTCAAACTCGTAATGGCGTTCTGAATGCGTATGGAGTCCATGCCGTGCTCAACGCTCAGGCGAGTTTGGAACCAGTTAAAGGCACCGTTCACAATAAATTTAGGGTTCCCTTTTTGACGGGAATTGATAGAAATACTCTAGAATAAGGCGATAACAATGAAAAAAGCGCAAAAAACGATGAACAA